GGCATGGGTATCTGGAGAATGGCCTGCTTTCTGACCTGAGACAGACTTCTCCTTTCCTCTGAGATCTCACACCCCAGGTACGACACTAAGGAGACACAGAGTTGTGCCTTTTTTGGTTGAGACTCAAGACTCGGTAGCCCGACTCCTCTAGTAACTGGAAAAAGCTCTTGCACTCCCTGCAGGCTTTCTGAAAGACTGGCAGCAGCTAGCAACAAATCGTCCACATAATGAAGCAGGGTAGGCTTAGCATTGTGAGATAAAAATTCACCAAGTCCTTCTAAAGGGTCTCACTGAACAGAGAGGGGGTGTTCTTAAATCCCTGGGGCAGCCGGGTCCAGGTAAATTGATGGGATCATCAGAAGCTGGATCAGTCCATTCGAAGGCAAACATGGGCTGGATAACTGGGGCAAGAGGCAGAGTAAAAAAAGGTATCTTTTAAATTTAGCACAGTATACACTTGGTATTTGGGAAACAGCAAACTCTGGATTGGGAATGGGAGGGTATAAAGTTACCATTCACTGGTTGACTTCTCTCAAGTCCTGGACTGGTCTGTAATCTGACATCCTCAGTTTCTGTACCAGCAAGAATGGGGTGTTTGATAGAGGCTGATAGGGAGTTAATATCCCAAAGACCAGCAACCACTTGATGGGAGTGGCTATCCTGCCTGGCCTCCTGGAAGATGGGATATTGTCTAACCCCCACAGGCATGGCAGTCAACAAGAGCTCAACTATCAGTGGGGGTGGTGAGCTGGCAAATCCAGTGGGTTAGTTTCTGCCTACACCTTAGGGAACTCTGCCTGAAGTCTGTCCAATAGGCCGTTGGGGCTTGTTTCCTCTGGGTTCTCTTCCCGCAAGAGGAGATACTCCATGGATAGAGCAGTGGTTAAAGACAGGTGGTATGAAGGAGGTGACATCTGAGCCTTGGTCAGAATGAAGGAGATAGTGACCCTCATAAAAAAAAAAAAAAAAAAAAAAAAAAAAAAAAAAAAAACATCTAAGCAAGGGGAATGGGTAGTCCAGTATCAAGAAAGACTGGGTAACTTGTTTTGGTCCCAGGCTTACTGTTCATTTGCGAGTGAGCAGGAAGTTCTGGATTGGTCCCATGGCCCCCTGGATGGGAATAGTTTGGGATGGAAGTTTTCCCAGGGTTGTTTTTTTTGTTTGTTTGTTTTTTAACATTGACTTTTTGGCACCAAGGCCCACCCAGAAGTGAACCAGTTGGCCCCTTATTTTAGCATTCATCAGGGGCTCCTGATGATTCAATCTGAATCATCCCTTCCCCCAGATGTGGGGAGGGACAGTATCTTGGCAGAAGGTCTTTGGGGGCGTTTATTTTTCCAGTGTGCTTTCTCCTTGCAGTAGACACATCGATTTCTGTCCAATGGTAGGCATCCTCCTAGCTTTTAGGCATCTGCCCTTTGGGCTTTCCAGAGTTGAGTCCCCTCTGATGGCTGCTGCCAAGATCTGTGTTGATCTAGAGTGGCCAGGGCCAAAATATTGGCTGTCCATTAGCCCAGTTACCTTTTTGTTTTGGTCTCTAAACTTAAGTTATTGAACACGCAGAAGAGAAAGTCACTATTATAATTTTGTTGGACATTAAATACTTTTGAAATATAAAGTACAGTTAGAGGACTGTTATTTTTATCAACCGTGGCTGTTGGAAGTTGAATCCCTGTAGAATGTTAACATAGGGTATTTATACATTATATAATAGTAAAATTTAAGATCAAGAGCCACAAATAGTATTTTAGAATGACAATCATTATCCTTGTAACACATTTAAATGTCCATCTTAGCATGGAATAATGCTTTAGTCAAACACCTCTATTTGATTACAAGACATTAAATATCACATAGAAAAATGTTTATTTTTTTTATCTTTTAATAGGATGACATCTAAGGGGAACACAGCCTATAAATGTTTCTTGGAAGTTTATAGCATTTAGCCCTTAACATCATTTGGACCACTCAGCGCCTGAGCATTCCCAAGTATGGTGACATACGACATACCCATTACATAAGTTTTTAAGAAAAACTATTATTTGATTATCTCATGTTGGCTTGCTATGTATATCTTGTCATAGAGTGCACTCAAATATATTTGGCCAATTTGAATTATAACATCCCTTTTAATTAAGGCTAGTCAAAACTTTTGTGGGTCAAGTGACAGAGATCTGTTGTAATTAGAATCAGAAGGAATAAAAGTGCTTTATGCCTGTAATTGTAAACCTTTTATAACAAACTTGAAACCAACAAGCAAACATATATATTTCCTTGATAAATACTTTTGTATATCTTTTTTAATGTATGTAGGCCTTATGGTCTTATATATGTCTCTATCTTTCTAACAAGACAAACACAATCTTTTCATATCAAAAGTATATTTCTTTTACTTTGTAGCCTTTTTAATATTTATCTTCCATCTCATTTATTATAAACCTTTTATAACTTGTTTTAGCTGTTAAAAATTTAAAGTGTTCTCCCCCAACCTTTTTGTTCTCAAATAGCTACATTTTAAAATTTGACTGGCTGTCAATAGAACAGTAGCAATCTTGAGTTTTTTTATCAACAAGGTACATAAAGGGACAAGTTTATCCCATTATTACAATTTCAGAATTAACAATGTAAAAGAAATGTTTTAAATATACCAATAAAACATCTGGAAACCAAACACCAATTAAACATTACTTTAAGTTAGAGATGAAAGGTAAATTTGTCAATTATCCAGAATTGATAATTTGATTTGTTTTGTTTTTTAAGTTTTTGTTTTGTTTTGTTTTGTTTGTTTGTTTTCTGCCTGGCCACCTGCACACTGGTGTCATGGAATTTTTGTTAGAGCTGCCTGTCAAGCAAGTTGATATGTAAATAGGCAGGCCCAGGAGAGAATTATATATCCCTTTATTCTGTGAAGTCCCACTGGTGGTGTGGGGGTGCGGAGTTGAGGCAGCAAAAGCTGGCAAGCACCTTAACAGTGTCTCCTTTGCCTGTCTGCAAGGAATAAGGAAGCCACATGGGGCATTGGAAATGTTTTTGTTTTTGCAAGGCAGAAGTTCAAGCCTGCAGTGGCACAGAAAAGTTGTGGAACAGCATTCAGAGGCACAGTACAGGCACTCAGAGGGAAAATAAGACAGGTAGCAGAAAAGAGCCCTACCCTCAGAAAAAGATAGTGAGGGAAAGGTGAAAGAAAAATTTATCCTAAATAGATCAGAAGACCAAAAAGAAGGCCCAAGTTGTCTCAGGCAGAATGACTGAGCTGTCATTTGCTAACACAAAAGAGTAAACTTAGCCAGAACAGAGGACCACCTCAGTTAGTGTCCTGATCTTAAGCAGGAGTCTGGGGGGTGCCTTCATCAAGGGCTAATGCTCCCCACTTGGACAAAAAGGATCCTTACCTCAGAAACAGAAGCAGACAGGGAGACTTGAAGTCATCTTTGATGGGCAACCAGAACATTACTGTGATCCCCTTAGTGTTAGCGCCAAGATCATGGTGCCCTGAAACATCTCAGGGGTGCCTCCCCTGTAATCTGCCATCCAAGATAAGAGGGACCATAGCGAGGCCAGTCTACCTGAAGTGGCAATCTCGCTGGGGCCTCCAACTGTTATACCTAATCAGGAGAAATTATAAAGAATTGCCACTACTCTGAGCCAAATTTGAGTCTTTAATTGTCAGCTGGTGTTCAAAAGTGGCTCCCGCCCAAAAGCTCTCAACAAGGAAAAGCAGCTTGCAGGATTCTTTTAAGCAGCTCTAATTGGGGAGGGCTCAGGGAGAGAGAGAGAGTGTAAGCAAAATTTCACAGATGAAGAACTTTGCTAAGTTAGTAGGGGTCAGGGGAAGATTCACAAAGTTTAATTAAAACAAGATCACACAGATGTGGAGTATCCTGTTTACATGGTCATAAAGATAACATGTAATTGCAGACCAAATATGAAGGTGTAAAGGTAACATATAGTTGCAGACTGCAGGATGTGGCTGTCTATTGTGCATTAAATGAGGGGACTCCCAAGCGAGGAAAGGGGAGGCAACCACCTGGAATCACTCGACTTTATGCAAATGGAGTTGTGTCTTTATTTTTGCCTGTTTCATCTTTTTCCCCCAAGATTCTTAGAAGCTACAACCTTCTGAGTGGTGTAACTCATCTGAATTCTGTATTGAGTGCTATAGCCCCAACAAAAATTTATTATTTGCCAATTTACATTTTTTGTTTCAAGGCCACCTGTCTTTGGTTCAGGTTGGCCTAGCATGGGCAAGGCCCTGGGTTTGATCATGAGCACCACAGGGGAAGGGGGGATGCACTGCACAAGCTCAAGGAGTATGTGAAGATTCTGTCCTTGTGGGCTTCATCAAACATATCATTTCAACTCTCTGCTTTCCCCTTTCCATAATCTTGGTTTCTTTTCTTCCAAGTCATGACATGTCCTCTCCTCAGATATTAATTCAAAGAGATGAGCTGCATAGTCGGCCTGAGGCCTTGTTAGGATGCTGCACTAGGTGACACAGCAAACTGGGCTGCATAGTGAAAAACCTGCTTTCTCTGCCATCCATTTGGTAAATGATAACCAGAATGTGGGACCCTAAAAATCGGGCCCAAATCCCAAGACCCCCCACTTAGCCTAATTAACTCTATTTTGAGCTGAAAAGCCATCCAGTGTCAGGGCCAAACTTCAAATTAACTCAGGCAGCAAAAATTTGCTCGGTTTGCTTAATTTTCTTAGTTACAATAAGAACAGAGTCAGGCAGATGGGAGGAAGGCCATTCCAACCTCAAGGAGAAAGAACAGGAGGTTCTATAGAGATAAGAAGAGTACACTGCATCCTTGAGCATACTAACCCCTTTTTGAACTGACCCCCTCCCCAAGCTAAAGTAAACTCCTTCCCACTTTTGCAAGAGCCCCAGCAACATCCAATAGATTTAGAAAATTAGAAAAGAAGCCAATAGAATAGAGAGAACTTCAAGCCACCCAAACCCTATAAAAATAGGCTACTTTAATGGGTCAGGACTTCCAGTTTGAAGCCGCTGCGTCAGTGACACTGGGAGTCCAGGCTCGAGCTTGCAATAAACTCCTCATGTATTTACATCAGAAGAGTTTCCTGGTGGTCTTCTTGGGAATTTCATGACTCGGGTACAACATTTGGGGGCTCGTCCGGGATCTCCAATTGACCTAGGACTCTCTCTCTGGAGGAGCCCAGCCGGCAACAAGTGCACATGTGAGTCTTCTGTTGTTTGAGTTTCTGTTTTGTGTTCTGAGTCTCGTGGGATCTTTGGCCAGCTGTGGTCCGCAGGCTGATGAGCCCTTATGGAGCCCAACCGGCGGGGGTCATAGAGAAGACGTTCCCAACCCCTTCTGTATTTGGGCAAGAAATCATACTGCTTTAGGGGTGCTCACTCAAGGAGTAAGCCCATAAAATTAGCCAATGACATATTAATCTTAGAGTTTAGATCCAGCTGTAAAGAGATAGCTCTTTGTTTATAAGCCCTGGCAGCTACAGTAATATTAATTAAGAAAGTTGACCAGGTAACATTAAGAAAAAGTAAATTGTTCGGTTTCCCCATGCCTTTTAGAACTATTAAATAACAAGACATTGATGGCTCTCAAATAATAGAGTCACATAATATCAGGCTCTCATCCGTGAAAATCCCTGCCTATATTTTGCTCCAGTTAAAACCTTAAACCCTGCTACTTTTTGCCCTCACAACCTGGCCCTCAGATCACAACTGCCTCAGGGTCACTGATGAATTGTTCTCCAGTCATCTAGATTTGCAGAAAGACCTACTGCCTGAGGCTGATTTCATCCTGCTCAAGGATGGGAGCAACTTCATGGAAAATGAACTCCTCGTGTATTTACATCAGAAGAGTTTCCTGGTGGTCTTCTTGGGGATTTCGTGACTTGGGCACAACAGGAACAGGACACAAACCCAAAATGGCAGTCTCATGCTATTATAGATAGATAAGTTAAGTAGATATCTTGTAGGCAGTTAGACTCAGTCAGCCTTCAAGAAGCCAACATGGAAGACAATCAAGACACATTCACTGAAGGTCAACATTGTAAAAGGAGAGAAACTACTACACCCACATACTTCCCCTAAGGATGAATAGCAGTGATTGATATTCTAGGATCAAGTTTTTTGTTTAGGGTGTTTTTTTTTTTTTTTTTTTTTTTTTTTTTTTTTTTTTTTTTTTGTACGGGGGATTGAACTCGGGTCCTATGCTTGTGAGGCAGGCAGTAGAACCGCTGAGCTAAATCCCCACCTCAGTGCTCGATATTCTAAATAAATATCAATCACCAATCACCTGGGTAGGGGACCAAGCTCTTAACCCACACTTTCTAGGAAAGATCCCTGACCCACCCTTCCTGAATATTCTTATAAGCTAATGTGACTTGCTTCCCTATTTGACTCCCATTTAGTCAGTTTTACCTAGGAGATTGTACTAGTCGTAATTTATTGGTTGGTCATAGTTTTGTCCCACCTTGAACCCACCTCACCTCATGGCTTTGCTTCATAAATACCTCCAAGGAAACAGGATCCCAGGGAACCCACTTTGCTGTCACCCTTCTATTTTCTCTTAGACAGAAGCTGTCTTTCTCTCAATAATTTCTCCTACTCTTAACTTCTGTCATTCCTAGAATTCATTATTCAATTTTAGAGAACATGAACTTGTGTTTCAGATACCTTGTAGGTTTGAAAGTCACATCTATTCCCTCTATATCACTTAGAGTCAATCATAAACATTTCACCCCAGATTCCTTAGCCCCTTCAATACCCATATAAGCCTAAGTCCTTTCTGGGCTGCTAATCTTTCTCTTTCTTGATACTAGCCCGCCCACTCACGGATGAAATCTCTCCCAGATAGCTGCTGCAATTTCTTTCTCAGTGTCTGCCCATCCACACACAGATGTAATAAACTCAGCTTAGCTAGCTGATAGACTCTATCCCTGATTTTAGTCCTTTATTTTAGTCTCTTTTCGATGGAATACTTTCCTTTCCCTCACAAAAAGCTTATTTAAATGAGTGGTTTCACATGCACCACGTATAACAGGCGCAGCCTGATTTCTGAGGTCCAGGGTCCGTGGTTAAGCTCCTTCTATTCTCTGGTGCATTGGGAGCCTTGACTATTTTGGCTCTCTCCAGACTTTCAGTCTGAGCAGTAGTTTCTGTGACAACTTTCCACCATCAGGAGGATTCTGGGAAGCCATGTTCCGAGAGAATGTTTCAGCTGATTGGAAAGCCAGAAAGTCTTCAGAGAAGTTTAAGGGCAAAAGAGCCAAAAAAAAAAAAAAAATTGAAGTTGCAGAGATGAAGAACAGTCAATTTTATGTAACAAACAGTGAAGGAATGAGACCACCTGAGAAGGTTAGTGACAGCAAAGAGGTACAGACATTGTTCACCTGGGCACAGGTGGACAGATGGCAATTGAGAGGCCATCAGCTCCGAACAAAGAAAAAGCAGAAAGCTTTATAGGGCACTGGAAGAGAGATCTCACACGTCTGTGCTCAGAGCAATTATTTGTGGTTGGGGTCCATGCAGTGATCAAGGCAGAGGTATAAATATTTTTAGGTGAATTGGCATTGAAGAGATGCTGTACTTTGTAGTTATCTCTATGTTGGAAACATCCCATCCTGTGTTCCGTGTCTGAGATAGCGTGGCTTTTTTGGGAGACAGCACCTGCATCCACTGCCTGTGTGTGTGTGGGGGGTGGTATCTGTATCTTGTCAAACTGTGGTTTAAAATTAAAGAGAGTATTCATCAACCATTTCATGACCAGGTCAAGCCTGACAGTTTAGCAGTTGGAGGCGGTTCTGTGAAATAGTATTGTGAGCCAGGCTTGGTGGCACATGTCTGCAATCTCAGCCACTCAGGAGACTGAGGGAGGAGGATCACTAGTTAGAGGCCAGCCTGTGCAATTTAGGGAGAGTTTGTGTCAAAATACGTAAAATAAAAGGGACTGGATATGAAGCTTAGCAATTCTTGATCTTAAGCCTCAGCACAGGAAAGAAATGGAAGGGAAGAAAAGGGGAGGGGAGGGGAGGGGAGGAGAGGGAAGGGAAGGGAAGGGAAAAGAGAAGAGTATGTGATATTCTGAAGCAAAGCTGGCTGTGGGAGTCTGGTCCAGTTCGTGATAGAACTGTGCAGGCTGTGGCAGATTCACCAAAGCTGACCTGCGGAACCAGGTAGAAGAATTCACAAAGGGGCCTCGTGTACATAACTACTGTTGCTTCCAAGGCACACACAGCTTTTTGTTTAAAGCAAGTGGCAAGTTACAAATAGGAACAAGGGTCTGATTGCTAGGACACCTAGTGTAGTAATGGCAAACCTTTTGGAGACCCAACCCAAAGCTCACTTATTTATAGCAAAGTATCAACACTGCAGTTACACCCGAATACTCAGGTTTTAGTTTAGAAAACAAACAAACAACTCTATAGTAACCTCTTTTGTCTTAAAATAAAAACAATAACAGGTGTGCCATAAATTTGCCACGACTGCCTCAGTGCTTTGGTTACAAATACAGCGCTAGTTCCTGAGCCTCTCCTGGCAAGAGGCCAGGGGAAGCCTGAGAGCAGTTTATGCTTTTTTGGTAGGACTCTCACTCAACATTCACAGCCTCCCTTTCACTTTCTGCCTGGGGCTCATAAACGAGTCTTTGGCCCCTGACTATGAAGACCAGATCATCCAGCTAACCCTGCAAGCCGGAGCCCACTCCATGTAGACCTTCATACATCCCACACTGCCCCACCTTCTGGAACACTTCTACTGAGCCCTCTGGAGCTCATGGTCAGTTGATAATAAATTGTCCACAATCCTCACTCTCTCTAAACATTCCCTCTATTTTCTTCCTCTAACTGAAACAAGCTCTCTTGAGGCCACCATAACTTCATCCTCCTAAACTGCTCAGAGAAACTGGGCACTACTCTTGATTCCTCTCTTTCTCTCCCGCCCCACAACTGATTGAGGAGGAAATCCTGTGGTTTCTGCCTTAGAGTAACACACTGACTCTGATGCAGCTACCGGCACAGCTGCCACTTTGGTCTAAGCCACCACTACTTCTCACCTGGATCATCGTGGTAGCCTCCATGTAGATAATTATACTATCTTCATTAACTTCCCTTATTGCCCCTCTCACATTTGGATAGATTGAAGAGTTAAAAACTACTCTTCTGGGCCGGGGACTTAGCTCAGTGGTTCCGCCACTGCTTCACAAGCACAAGGACCAGAGTTTGATCCCGGGTACGAAAAAAAAAAACCACCCCACCAACCAACAAACAAACAAACAAAACTACTCCTCCAAAACTGATGCAGTGGCAACGTGCTTGAAATCCCATCACTCTGGGAGGCTGAGGCAACTTAGTGACATCCTGTCTAAAAAAGGGCAGGGGGGGGGTTCAGTCTCCAGTTCTTGAAAAACAAAAACAAAACAACAAAAAACCACACTTCTAAGACATCATTGCAATTAAGTCAGCCAATTCATTCCTGATCATAATCACACAAAGGAAACACAGGGCAGAAAGTTAAGTAGGGTGGAGCCGTTATTTTGCTTTTGTGGTCTTTGGCAAGCAAAGGGAGACAAACAACTATTTCAGTGATCAAAATTTTACATTCCCCACTCTTTCCAGGTTCTTTCTACCGGTCTTATGGGCATGAGACCCAGTTGTAGGTAAGGCAATAATTGCAGGGCAGAGCCAATTATTAACTAAAAATTATAGGGAGTCATTGTTTTGAACTAAGCTCTTAAACTAGGTCTGGACAGACAAGGTTAAAAATCAAAATAGAGTTATTTATGCTAAAGTTCCACATCACCAAAATGAAACTAAGCTGTTTATCTAGCCTAAGAAATCAGGAGAGAGGGATAATGACCAAATTTCTTTAACAGGTAAATTCATTGAGCATGATAAAGATCCCTCTGCCTTAATCCTTACACACACACACACACACACACACACACACACGAGATGCTGAAATAACTTGATATTACCCAGTTAGAGATTCATCTATTGTTTTATCTCTCTATCCCTGACTTATGATGAAAGTAATTCTGAAAAGACCACTTTTTGTTTTTTGTTTTTGTTTTTTTTTGGTACTGGGGATCGAACTTTGCGCTTGCAAGGCAGGTCACCAAACCACTGAGCTAAATCTCTGGCCCCACTTTTTGTTTTTATTTCTGCTTTTTTAGCCCGTTTGCTCATTGGAACATTTATTCTGTTTTGGGGAG